CATAATTTTAGATCTACAATACCTTCATATAATTTTTTCTTGAATGTAGTTATTACAACATTGTCTAAATATAATTATATTTTGACAATGTAGTATCAAAATGTGGTAAAACCTGAATTACATTTTTTTTTTCAAAATCGACATTATTCTACGATCATGACGAAATGTTTGGCTGTATGACATCCAGTCATCATCATCATCATCATCATCATCATCATCATCAACAGCCTTTAATAGTCCACTGCTGGACATAGTCATATAATACAAGGTGTCTCAAAAGAAAGTTTATATTTATTTAGCTTACTGCGTGAACGCAACGAGTCCGAGGGGCGCGGGGGTTATGTCAATCGGTAGCCTGGCTCTTGGGAATTCAGTCGCTATGGAGCGTTTCTCGGGAGCAGACCGTGCGTTGTTCGTGCGAGAGTTTTACAAAAACGGTGATTCGGCGACTGTAGCGCGTAGAAGGTTCTGTAGTGTTCGAGGTTTTCGCCATTTAAATGATGCGCCAAGCATTCCTCTTATTCGAAAATGGGTCAAAAAGTTTGAAGACACCGGTACAACGCTGGAAAAACCAAAATCCGGGCGACCAAGGTCATCAAGAACGGTAGAAAACGTGGAGAGTGTTAATCAGTCTGTTCGTGACGACCCGAACCTTTCAATTCGGAAGCGCGCAAGTGCTTTAAATGTGCATAGATCATCATTACACCGCATTTTGCACAAAGATCTAAAGCTGCACCCCTACAAAATTCAATTGGTGCAAGAATTAAAGCCCCAAGATGCCAGTCAGAGGCTTGACTTCGTAAATCAGGCGATTGAGCGTTTTTCAACGTTTACCGACATCTTGTTTTCGGATGAAGCTCATTTTCATGTTAATGGACACGTAAATAAGCAGGATTGCCGCTACTGGAGTGCAATGAATCCGAAACGCAAACATCAGAAACCCCTTATTCGCCTAAAGTGACCGTATGGGCTGCGATGTCGGCGCGAGGAATTATCGGCCCTTACTTTTTTAAAGACGAAAGGAGGCGTGCAGTTACAGTGAATTCAGAGCGTTATGTGGAGATGTTAGACGACTTCTTAGCGCCTGAACTGCAAAACTTTCCTGGCTATAACCAAAGAACATGGTTCCAGCAGGACGGAGCAACGTCACACACGTCTAATACGTCTCTGCCACAAGTTCGTGAAATTTTCTCAGGAAAATTGATCTCCAGGATAGGTGACATAAATTGGCCTCCACGCAGTCCTGATTTAGCCCCTATGGTCTTCTTCCTATGGGGTTATCTCAAATCTAAAGTTTACGCGAATAAACTGACTTCCCTGGCGCATTTGAAAGAAAATATCCGTCACGAAATGGCAGCCATCACTGAGCCCACCTGCCGAGCCGTCATAAGTAATTTTACTGTTCGAATAAATGAGTGCCGCGAACGCGAGGGTCTACATTTGGACGATATTATTTTTAAGAAATAAATTCCCAAATTGTGTACTTTAATAATTAATAAACATTTTTTCGATACACTGCTTACTTTTTTTTTAATCGATCTACTAAATATAAACTTTTTTTTGAGACACCTTGTACTTTGGGTATAGTTAAGAAATGTGATTCGTGTGGATTGTTACTGAATAAAAATGTTAATAGATACTACTCAATAGGAAAAAAATACAGATAGTTATTAAAATCATAGAATACATAGATTTATTATTAAGTTATTAAATAATGCCTTACTAATAGCTTGGTGTTGATAATTCGACAAGTGGATCTATATCCACTTGTCGAATTATCAACACATTATTGTAATTGTAAACATAAAATAAACTATAACTATATATAAATATATATTATGTAGCTTCGTATACTCGATAAACACGCTTGAGCCATTGTATAGCCATAGCCATTCTGACTTATTATACATATGTTGTGTGTATTATGTTTAAATACAACTTCCCAACATGAACTTCAAGAATAGTCATATGGTTATATGATTATTCTTGAAGTTTATGTTATGTGTAGCAATTATTTTTTCACTTAGATTTGTAATTTTTTTTTTGTGCTCTGTGTTAGTAGTGTTTGAAGCCGGTTCAATTTTTTTTAAAGGATTTATTTTACCAATGCAGTGTAAGATATGTTTGTAATGAGTAGAGAAGTACGATATTTAAAGCACTACGTACTGTAATGCATCTTACCAAACTGTACTATGTTAGATTACATTAAATTTGGTTTGGTAAGTCTGGTACTTTATTTAGATAAGGTAGTAAGATGTTACATTTAAACCTGAAAATATATTGATCTCCACATTTTTTAATTTTCCAACAATAGAAGTGCTTTTTCTTCATATTTGAACCAAAGAGGAAATAAACCCTTCGAAATAAAAATAAAATATAATCTATCTACAAATCAAACAGTATAGCGTATTGTAATTGCGTAACAAAACATTTTTTTTTGTCTAAATGTTTTATAATCTCATTGATTACTCTCTTGTGCACATATCTCTGTAATCCAATACACATCTAACAGATATCTTGAAAAAATAAAACAAGGTCAATACATCATTAAATTATTGACCTTTAGGAGTTCGAGGGTCATCCCTCGCATCGCGAGCATTCCATCATCAGCTCAGCAACATGACATAATGACTACTAAACGTAAAATAGCTAGAGAAAAAATACCTAAATAGCTTTAGAAAAAATTTAAACCACTTAGTCGGGGCTGTAAAATTTGAAGGATTCTCTAGATTTAGTGATAATGGGACCACCTAATGAGTATAATCTTACGATTACAAAAATAATTTTGAAAATTGGTCTACCTTTGACGTAGAAATCGCTCAACAAACATACAAAAAAAAAACTGTGGAATTGAGAACCCCCTCTTTTGTGTTTTTGAAGTCGGTTAAAAATTATAAAAGGAAAGGGAAGTACATATTTAGTTACTAGGTGTTTTATTTACTAAATCGAACCTTGTTTGATTAACTCAATAGAGGTTGTTTGTTAATGTTTAATTAAAGTTAGTAGATAGAGATCTCTCTAGGTTAAGACCAAGTACAGTAAAGTGCACTAAGTTGTATGTCTGCTGACCGGCAAATTGGAGTGTGCCGGCCATTCATTCGGTAATCACTGTTCAAGATCAAGTTCCTTGAGCAATAATATGAGCTACTGGTGATTAGAGGAGAATCAGTTGTGTTTTTTGTCTTGAGAAAATGATTAGTCGCCAACCAAATTTTTGAATAACATCTATAAGACTTGTAAAATGTTTATTGAAACACATGCTGAATTAACTCTGTCTTCTATGAATAGAATATACTATATATTTTAATAAAATTCAGTTAGGTGGGTCAAACAGTATGCTTCAGGGATCACCTGTGTGTGATCCGCTAGGAGCTAACGCCTGGATGTCACCACTGCGATGGCCGGACCGTGGACACGGCACTTCACACGTTGGCGGAATTCCCGGCGTGGATTGAGCAGAGGCGTGACCTCGTGGCGGCCATCGGAGTTGGAATTGTTTAGCTTAGTTAAATGATTGCGACCATGGTATGGAGTCAGAGCGCTTATAAATCCGCCGTCTCCTTTTGCGAGTAAGTTATGCTTGCGAAGGAGACGGCGGAGCGGGATAGTGAAAGAAGGCGACGGGCTATACGCGCCCTTTAGGTTGTAGAATGAGAACATCGTGATTCCCACACACGAGGGGGTCATGTATAGGGGCCTGGAGTCCGTCGGGGTGATAGGGATTTCCTTCCTAGGGTTCATGTCCGACATAACCACCGGTGTGTGATATCCAAGGGGATTTCCGCACAGACAAAACAAAAGTGGGTCAAACAGTATTATCTAATATTCTTCTTATTTCCATTCTGTTTGCCCGGTGGAAGTGAGGTAAATAAATAAAATATTTTCGTAAATATACATACTTTAACTTCTTTTCCAAATACTGTCGCAGGTTTTAGTTTTTAAGTGTTTTTTTTTCCTAATTATAAAATTTTAACTAAGTATGTATAAGTCAACACAAACTTATTCTGAAGTAGGTATATGTAAGGATTTAGTCAGCTATGCACTTTTAAAACAAGAAATTAGTTTATCGGTGCTGTAGTTAAATATTTGGCCTCATATTTATGCCTTATAAGAACACAATGAGATCTTTTAGTGACGCTACGTCTAGCGTTATATTCTTTATCTAACCAATTTTTAATAAAGTCTGTTAAATAGAGCCTTAGCGCTAGATTATTGCTAATTTAATGGGATCATTGTCAACTACATCAGTCATAATTTTATCACGATGGGTGGTCAGAAACATGAAAGACTAGAATCGGTTAGTGTTACTTGCCTTAGTATTAGGCATACCAATTTACGTTTATATATTTAATAGTAGATCAGACACTGATAGATACTTTTAAAGAATCTGTGTTGAGTAATAAAAATATACAGTAAAGTTAAATACTATTTTTATTCATATTTATGCTAATTAGCACAACATAAATAAGCAAAAAACAGTCTTATCAACAACTTATCATATTAGCTGAGTTCAACTGAACAAATTGATTAATATTTCGTATGTTTTTGAGGTTCTCTATCTTTTTTAGGATTTCGTACCTCAAAAGGTAAAAAAGGAACCCTTATAAGATCACTTTCTTGTCCGTATGTCCGAATCTCAGAAGTCAGAATTTTCTCTTTACTTGTGCTTTAAGACATTGCTTTTAACCAAAATATAGGTTTTAAGGTCGAAAACCTATATGGTAGTTTCCGTTGACCTAGAATCACGGAATTTGGCAAAAAGAAACGTCTTACACCACAAATAAAGGACTAATTCCAAAAAATAAAAAAGTTGAAGATTAAGATAAATTTATGTACTTACAAATTTTCGCGAAAATCTACGTAAAATCTGGGTAGATACGGAACCCTCGGCGCACGAGTTCGACTCGTACCTGACCGGTTTTTATTTATTGAGATGACTCTGGTATCATTCCTGTCGATAAACGATATCGGTTTTTTGACTAATTTTCTTCTTTTTGCAGTCGAGCAGTCAGCCTTGGCTGGTAGTCACAGAAGTGGTACAATTGGTGCAGCTGTCAGTAACTGCCTCTGCACTAGCAATTTATTATATCATCTATTGCTACATGCAGCTCATATACTACACACTTAGAAGCGCTATCTACTTTCACAATGCTGACGGGTGAGACTATGTTGTTAAATACATAACTCAACCACCTTAACTTACAATTAGTAAGTTAAGGTATTGTAAGTAAGAAAAAGTATTGCAGAAAAGTATTGTCATATTTAATCATCATTATCACTAATTTAGCCTTTAATAGTTAACTCTTTGACTTAGGCCTCTCCTTAGAAAGGAGATGGTATAGGGTTTGTTTCAAGTTTTGCTTCTCTTTGCAGTGCTGTTTTCCTGCTTAGTTTGCTGCCTTACTCGGCTCTTACGACTTCCACGGGATGAATAGGAGTGGTGACACTTATTTATTTAGCCTTATTTTTAAGCCATCACTATACAGATGTCATATATAATGTCATGTATTACTCCGAAAATACTAGAAAGCCATTTCATGGTATGGTAGTAAAAAACTGTCTTGAACCTATTAACGCTCACCTTCGGAAATGTGGCAACATTAAGTTTGTTAATATGAATTATGTTAAAAAAGATAGAGACAATTTGAAGAGTAACAATAACATTCTGTGTACGTGGACGTTTGTTTGTGTGTGTGTGTGTGTAGCCAGTAAGTTACTACACTCAGGGGCGGCCCTCAGACGGCATTTCTTTCAACTTTATCTCGGCCTATGTCCAGCAGTGGACTATTAAAGGCTGTTGATGTGATGTGATGTTGCTCACAGTGCTCATTTATGTAAATAAGAAATAGTGATGGTCCAAGAACTCCTTTGTGAAACGTCATAATTCGAAATTATCTCATCACTAATGAAATCGTTTACAAAGACAGTATACGGTTGCTAAGGTAGATTTGGATTATCCACATTCTACCTACATAGTAATTTTAATTTCAATTTATTTATGATTCATTGTAGTAGGCTTATGATTGAAAGTAAGGAATATTCTTTTATCATAGGTATGTTAATTTTATTTTTTGTTAATTTTTTATTAGAAGAAATATAGTCTTATAAAAAAAAGAAAGTTTTTTTTAAATGAAATTTTATTGTCATTTATCTATGAATTCATGTTTATTTATAAAGAATTCATTTGAAATGAATATAATGAAGTGTTTTAGAAAAAAGTTACAAATAGTTGTTTTCTATTTGCAGACCTATGAAAATTACAATTGGTGTGGTCACACTAACATCATTAGTGGTGGGGTTCAACATTTTGGTGCGCTTGGAAAGAATAATTGGGATATTATTTTGATTAATATCAACTTATACACAACTTCATCTTATCATGTTCACATATAGTTGTTTTAGAATGTTTTGAAAGTTTTAAACAGTTTGTAAAGAGTAATAAATTGTTCAATTATCACAATAAAATTTGAAGTAGAATTGATGTCTTTTACAAAAGTGAAACGAAATACGCTCTAAGGTATTTAAACAATTACTACTCTAAGCTGTTGATAAATAACGCCAAAAACAAGTTCAAATTTTAGTTTAGAAAAATATATCGGCATTCAAATATTTTTCATTACCGCAAATCTACGATTAATATTTTTAGGACACTACGTTGGATTGCGAATTCAATCAAATATTACTAAAGGTACGTTAACCCCACAGAAAATTTTGACCGCATACTTGTGTTAAAAAGTTAAAAGAGTTATAAAATAAGAGGTCACTCACATACATTAAAGAATTGGCATTGCGACTTGTGCATAAATCGCTTTTCAAAAGCTCGGCATAAAGGCAAATCGCTAATCTTTCCACCACCTATCGCAATCTTAATATGGGAGCTAGTTGCTAAATCACGCGATTTTAGTACATATATAAATCACAGAGTCGCCAAACCACAATGCAGTTTCGATGCTTAATGGTACGATGATAACGCAGCACTCGAATGCAGGGGGTCCCATAACGCGATGTTCTTGAAAGTTACTGGTTGCGAATGCTTAAAGAACCATGTTTAAGATAGCCTTAAAAGATGTCAGTTGTTTAACACATGTTAATTTTCCATCAGCGGTTACAAAAGATTGATCGGGAGTTGTATCTACTGTGCGTCATGTTAACATTTGTTAATGACATAAACAGCGTAATGTACCTTATATTGTAAATGTATTTATAAAATTCAAACCAAAAAGTGAGCCGACGTATAAAACTTTTAAAAAGTGTTTTAAATGTTTTATTGACATTGAACTATTTATTACTTATTATACAATTGTTTTAATTTTTTTTTAATTAAAAAAAAGGTCAACGCGTCCGGAGTACCACTCGACCATGTACACTATATTATGTTATGAAACTTTCGACTGTATGAAAGTAATCTGAAGATAAGCCTAATGAATAAACTTAAAAAGTTACAACATAACTATATTTGCGAACTAGTGTTACTTTTGTATTTAAAATTGTAATAATATAATTTATTAAAGAATTTTGTCTTGTGATGACACAATTTTTTTTTTATTTTCAATGGGGTGCTTCCCATTTAATTTTCATTTTGAAATTGGGACGTTCCTTAGTTGAGCACACATTGTCTTTGGCTTGTTACGTTCCCGCTCTTTTGTTTTCACCATAACCAACGAATAGTTTTACGAATCATATATAAGCTATATATGATTCTAAAAACTCAACAAGCAAGTCAACAATTTAAAAACATCCAAACTTCTTTCGCCATGATAAAACAGTTTTATATTCATAGTTACTACATACATACATACATACATACCTTAAGGTCATTTGCTAAGTCACACATACCTATTGCATGCAGATACTAAGATTATAATATAATATCGTTATAATTTTAGGCAGCTTACTGTAATTACTTTGAAATAAATCATTACAAACATTTCATATAATACATGGAGTAATAAAACTACACAATTGGTTTTACTACCCCAAATAGTGTCTTCTAGCTTTAACCACTCTAAATCTCAAATGTACAATTCAAAAGCTAGAGAATTAGCTTTAGTAGCCACTTGACAGTGATTTCATTAGCAGGTTAATTACTTGAACTGTCATTAGTCGCGATGGATTGAGCGTGAAGGCGGGCAATGCGCACCTGGAGTTTGTTGCTTTCAAATGGTTTTGGAAGTGATTAAGCCCCCGCCCCCCCTTCGACGGACAAGACATTACACGGATGAAGTGGCACGCAGGAGGCTGAGTCGACGACCACGGACCACCACTTCATGGTAAGACGCCGCAAGAACCGCGCGCGTGGTAACGGCTCTAAGACATTCCCGCGAAGTTATACACGCTTTTATTGAATCAGGCGTGTAGTGTACGAACTTATTTATTGGTGGTAGTGTTATCATATGAACCTGAGTGTCTGTGTCGCTCAGTGCAAAATGGTGTTAACTGTGAGGTAAGTAGACTATGGAAATATAGTGCGTGAAATAGATCTTGACGCCGCAGTTTCTTTTTAATGCTTTTAATGTCTGTTAAACTTAAATTTTAATAAAAAGCAAAATAAATCCTTGTAATGATTAAGTTCAACTTAAGTAATTGATTACCTAGTATTACAATTATTACAGAATCAAGTTACATTGAAAATAATGATCAAACTGAGTTCTAGAACCTCTATTAATGTAATTGTTTTACCATTGTCATTTTATTTACTTTTTTCTTTTACAATGTTTAAAAGTATTAAAGAGTGGTCTCGCAATCGACCGAGTTCGATTTCAACCTAAAATGATTAAAACTATAATTTACAATGTGTGTGTAATATAGACTGATAGTTATTAAAGAAACGTATTTACCTAAATAAGTTTCAACTTTGACTGATTAATAATTTTATTTAGACCATTTATTCTAATTATGCTTAATTACACTTTTCTTAGGTCTTATTACTAACTAGAAAACTTAGTAATAGGTTACTGACGAACCCTTTACGAAAAGAACACTTAGATAAAGTTGGTCACAGCAAAAACAGAAAAAGATCTTTGTCGAAGAATGTACAGTTGACCAAATAAATAAATAGCAATAAATAAATTGGCAACGCTACAACTAAATTATATTTGTACTAGTTCCCTTACCCGGCTACGCTTGATCGCAATAAAAGGCATAGCTAATTTGCATCAAAGACGATTTTCTAAATAACGATTGAAGCAGCTGCTACTGGTTTGAAGTCAATATTTTCGTTTAAAGATTTGACTGTTTACCGCAAGATAATTTATTGTGCTATTGTTCCCATTTCATAGTATTCGAATGCATTTATTTATTCAGGCAGTCGGTGGAAATGTTAAGACTCATTGTTATCTAGAGGATTTAGCTTTCACAGGGATCGTGTCAAAAACTCTGGGCTAAAATTTGATAGTCCTAAAAAGGAGGTTCATTTGCAATTTAAAAATTAAAATATTTTTAAGAGAAAGTCTATTTAATTTATCGAACAGTTCATATTGTTCTTCAAATTGTGACTTATTTAATGGCATAAATTTGCTGTGAACGTCACAGAGCTATTTGAAACAGCTTTCTGTGTCATTAAAATAAACATTACCTACAGGCAGCACATAGCAGATATAATAGTTTGAATGCTTGATATGACAGACATGATTATCAGCTCTAATTATAAATTAGTTGCTACTAGCAGTGACATTGGTATTCATTACTTTGAACACCTAATAGAGAGATAAGATAAAATATCGGAACATAAATGAGCCCAAACACAATAAATGTTATCGATCTTTCAGCTGTTCAAAGTACATGTCTCATTACAGATTTACTTAGGCCAGTGATATGTTAAGATCTTAAAAATATAGTTGCTTTATATCACGAGTACCTTTGATTTTTAAGCTTTTTTGTAATTTTCATTAGCACTTGTAATGACGCCAAAATCGAGGTTGAGTGTCTGCTCGTTTGCCCCCTCTTCCATAAAAAAAAGAATTCGAGCATTTTAACAAATGTATTTTATAACATGTTTGATGATGGCAGAGATTTCTCTCTTATATGCAATATTTTTCTTCATAAGTCTTGTATACATCAGTAAATCTAAATGGTTTCTCATCTTTACTAACTTTGTATTCCACGTCAATGGCAAGATGGATGAACTCGTGAAATGTGATGACGTCACTTGCTAGGTCACAGAGTCGTGTGTCATGCTGTGCAGTAATCTCGAGGTGTGAGCCTTATGTTTTGCCACCCGTGTAGTAACGGTGCGTTCCGCTTGCCGGCCCCGTTTAACTCGACAATGTGTTAAAACTTAGGACTACCCTAAGTGACATATTGTGGCTGCAGACAAATCATTTGGCTTAGTGACTAAGGATTTTCGTAGGTTTTTCTTAACCACAATACTTATTATACAATTTTTTAAAAATACTAAATGTAATCGGAGAGATTGGGGCTGTGAAGAGGCTATGAATAAAATAATAATATTTTACTTAAGTGTAAATAAACATCGTCGTCGTAAATAAAAATCGTCGTCATCAACAAGCCTTTGGTAGTCCACTGCTGGAGATATAAAAACTAAACAATAAAATATATATAATGGTGTTAAATTTTGTACATAAATTTTCACAATTTTTCATGTACACGTATAGAAAATAGACATAAAGCACCGTGGATAAAGTTTTTACATAAATATTGACTGATTTGAGGCCTATGACCGGTAGTGGACTATTAAAGGATGTAGATGACATATTGTTTTTGTATACATCACATCACATCAACAGCCTTTAATAGTCCACTGCTGGACATAGGCCTCTCCTTAGAAAGAGGGTTTTGGCCTACTATACCACACGGGCCAGACAGGTTGGTATAGGGTTTGTGTCATGTTTTCCTTCTCTTTGTAGTGCTGTTGTCCTGCGTAGTTTGGTCCTTTAGTCGGCTCTTGCGATACCCATGGGATGAATAGGGGTGGTGACAATCTGTATTCTTAATCCAACACCACACTGATTAATCAAGGCTATACTACTTTTTACACAAACAACCCCGCGGCAATATTTTATTTCATAAATTACCGGAAAACCGGTTCTAGAAATGAGTTCAAAAGTTACTGTTAACATAATAACTATAAAATAACAATATTTATTTGTTAATTGAATATTTGGAAAATTAATAATTTTTAATTAATAATAATATATTGTACTTATATTACATAAAGGTTAGACCTTAATTATATTAAAATTAAGAAGGTTAATATGTTATTTTAATCCAAATTTCCTAATAAATTTTCTACTGATGTTAATGCATTACAAGGTTGTTGGCAGACGTTTTGGAAAAACATATGTATAAAATAAATTACAGTATGATGTCTAATATTTCATATTATTTCAATAAGAATTTAGCGTGTATAACAAATCTCAAAGTAGGTCTACATCTATGTCGTAAAATAAAAACACTACTGTTCATGTGGTACGAAGGAATTTGACACGTTTTTTCAGCTATTTGCGCCACGGCTGGCTATAAGCTTCAGTAAAGCTATGTTGCTATTAGAGCCCGTTTTAACATTTTAATGTTTTTGATAGTATCGGGGCAAACGAGCACACGGGTGACCTGATGGTAAGTGACTACCGCTTCCATGGACACCTCAAGAGTTACTCAAGAGTCACAAGAGGGTTCCGGCGTTGTGACTCTTCTGACCAGTGTGCTGATTGGTATTGGTATGTCTAGGAAATCACACTACATATTTTATGTATGAAATATATTGAAAAAGATATTAGTACGAACACTTCTTTCTGTCCTTCCATTTGAGTGACACTGCACCATTTTCTCCAACGGGATAAGCGTCCTTGAGCATTCATTATGACCTACTTATAACGCATTAAGTGAGCATGCACATGAATGTTTGTGTGAGGAAGCGGTAATGAGGCCGTCCGATTCGAGATGTAGGAAACGATGCGAGGCCGAGCACTTCCGATAATTACCGAAGAACCCCGAACGTAGCTGGGAGATCTACTCCACACATTATGCAAATGCATTAATTTTACGAGGAACTGTTTTGTATACCTAATAAGCTTCCGTTTTGTTGAAATTTGGCCATTACCTTTGATATGCGTTTTAAATTCGACTAGCGTGAAGAATGTTTTACTACTATAAATATATTTTTTATGTTTTTTTACATATAAATTTCTCGATACAACGAAAGTGAAGTAAGCACAAACCTGTAAAGTTAAGTTTTACAAGTTTGTATAAGTACCATGAGTACGGTCAAACATATTGGTTTTCAATCAATGTATTTTTTATCTAACTTTTAAATGCACACGAAACAATTAATCTGTTATTTGATTGCAATGAGTAAAAATAGTATACTTGCTCCTGAAAATGTGAACAGATTTATTCTGTAAAATACTTTTATCACAATGCATTCTTCGGTTAAAGACTTATAAAAAAATCATAGTAATGATCATCATATTTTCACGTAATATTTTATATATTCATATGTGTACTAATATTGCGTGAGTAACTCCGTAGAACGGCAAAGCTCGTAGCGAGCGGACGCGTTTATGTCTTTAGTTAGAAGCGACAACACGTACTACAGAACGTAATTTAAAGCATATTTACAAAAATAAGTGGCATTTCTTTTATGTGTGGATCAAGCTAAGTGTTTGAAGGACTACAGACGGCCTAAAATTTTACGATGTTTATTTTTACTAACAATTATTTCCATTTAAATTAAGGTAACCGGTATAACTTAAAACGGTAATATATAACGTTACTAAATCTCACCTTGAATCTAAAGGTAATATTATGAATGGTATACAAATATATTAATAATAAAGCATATTTATAAGGACGTAAGAAGTACTATTTAAGAGTGGTTTAAACCATAATCTTTGTTTAGCATTGCATATGTACCAGTAAGTGAGGTTACTGAGCTCAACAAATTCTGGATGGTTGTCATCGCTTGTTTAAAGGCACCGATGATCATTCTCCATTCACGCTGCTAGTCAGACACTAAACGCATAACTCATTACAGTTTTTCAGGCACTAGTAGAAAAAAATACATGAACCGAGTCATGGTCATCTGACATCTACAGTAAGGTGTTACGTTTACGACAGTATTTCGAGATATTCAAACATTGGAAGAGTGTTAAGAAACTACACAAAAGCGAAGGTACAAAACAGAGAAAGGTGTAGATTTTACTTAAAATAGCCTAATTGCATGAAGGTCTAATGCTTACCTAATATGATGATAATGATATGGCTCTGTTCTAAACGGAGCTGATGAATGATGAGCCACGTTTTTTAAAGAGACTATCCATACTAATCCATATCAATGTTATAAATGCGAAAGTGTGTCTGTCTGTGTGTCTTTCTATCTGTTTGTCTGTAACATCTTCACGCTTAAACTGATTCAGATGAAATTTGGTATAGAGATCGTCCGAGTCCCGGGAAAGGACATAGGTTTAGGAGTAGTTTATATCTCAG